TTATCCGACCTTACTGTTGACAGGAATCTCATGAATAATACTGTGCAATATCGTCATTATCTGAACGCCTTCACAGACGCATATTCCGGAAAGATGTCTTGAAAAACATGAAGCTGCGTCTAATTTATAGATGAACATAATTTTCTCGATACTCATTAATCAGATGAATCTTCATTTAGTTCAATTCACACGTGACTGCAAAAAATGCATAATTCTTTTTCACGACTTCAAGGTCGGAAAACATGTATTATATTTCATAAGTGCATTATAGAACGCTGTAGTAGATGGATAATTTCCTCGATACTCATTAATCAGATGAACCTCCATTTAGTTCAATTCACAAGTGACTACAGAAAATGCATAGATAGTTCGTTTCTTTGTTTTCAAGGACGGAAAACATGTATTATATTTCATAAGTGTATTATAGAACGCTGCAACAATTCGGCAGAGAAATACTATTGTGCCATTATATACCTTATATCAACCCATCAGTGTATAACATTAGCATTCAGATATTGTTATAAAATAAGTTAAAAATTCCAAACATTATCGTGTAATATGACATATATAGTGTTGTGTTCAATTCGTTGTGACAAAAAGGTTTCGATATTCAAATATAACATTTAATCAAAGTGACTACGAAGTAGGCCTGCATATCACTCACAACAGAAATAGATACATAATAATGTTTTGTTTATTTTCCTACACATCAGTTGCGAGAGCAATGTTTATGCTTATAAAGTTTTCGTCAACTTATATAGCATTTTTAAAAGATGATTTGCTTCAATTAAAAGATTCGAAGAATGATAAAAAGAAATTAGGCTTATTGCTGAAATGATTAGTAAAAATAATATTTAAAATCCATCTATGGGAAAGGATGCCAGACGGACATATCAAAACAAAATCGGATAATTACTCGGAGAATTGACTTTCAAAAATAGCATATTAATTATCAATGATATCAGTTTTTCATAAAATCACTAATAATTCTGAAACGTTGCTGATAAACCTGGAATCGTGTACAGATGTTTTCATAAATACACTCACACGAACATCCAAGTGCACTTTGCGCCCTATTGGATAGTGTATGCAAAATCACGTTTCACGAAGGCCGGTATTGAGACGCCAATTACATCACTTATTATATTTCATATTCAGCGGCGACAAATGCATCACTGAATTCTAAGGCTGGGACTCGAATCCGGGTCGGGTACAGCTGGAATCGAGTCCTATTGATAGTCGTATGTACCATGCATTAACATTAACTTGCGGCAATCTTAGCACTAAAAGAGCTTCGAAAATCTAGGCCCTGGGCCCTGTTTCACAAAGCTGTCGTAGCGCTACGACTGTCGTACCTCCTACACTGTAACATAGAGTTACGACTGTCGTACCTCCTATACTGTAACATAGACCTACGACTGTCGTACCTCCTATACTGTAACATAGAGTTACGACTGTCGTACCTCCTATACTGTAACATAGACTTACGACTGTCGTACCTCCTATACTGTAACATAGACTTACGACTGTCGTACCTCCTATACTGTAACATAGACTTACGACTGTCGTACCTCCTATACTGTAACATAGACTTACGACTGTCGTACCTCCTATACTGTAACATAGACTTACGACTGTCGTAGCTCTACGATAGCTTTGTGAAACGGGGCTCAGGCCTTTATTCCCGAAACGTTCGTAGCCATACGAATTCTTAACTTTGATCGTAGGCAATGTGTTAAAAATCGGCTTACGAAGTTCGTGGGGCTACGAACGTTCGAGAATAGCTAGTCTGACCTCAAGTCTTCTTTTTTTTTTAAGAAATATAAAATATATTAATACTCATCACGCAGTATATCAACGTTCCCGTTCGTACCGTTACGACCTGTCGTAACTCTTTAGTTTATCATAAGCTTACGAATGTCGTAGCGCTACGGATGTCTTGTAGATTAGGACACTTGCTAGCTATTCTCGAAACGCTCGTAGCCCTACGAACTTCTTAAGCCCATTCTTAACACATTAGCTACGATCAAAGTTAAGAATTCTTAGGACTACGAACGTTTCGAGAATAAGGGCTCAAGTCTCAATGTTTCTTAAAATATATAAAAATACGTTAATACTCATCATGCAATATATCAACGATTCCGTTCTCAATGTTCTTAGCTAATTTTCAGTGACACGTACTGATTAAATAATTATTTAAGTCACCAAGAATATTTATCAGGTTCATCTGCCAAGTCATTCTCTCGTTCCCCTGGGTAACATAACAGTAGCTAGCAGTATGTGCGGCGCTTGGGGTTAGATTTCATTATACCCATACGTCGTGATAAGTATCCTTACTAAATGTTTATCTGCCAGCCACGTTTATGTCGCGATGCAACGGCAGGTTATTCACAACATTTTATATTACCTAGTCTTCTGTATACCGCCGGGTGATTAAAGAATCATCAAAGTACAATGCTTGCTTCAAGGAACATAACAAACAAGAAGACAGGAGGATAAGAACTAGACTCGATATAATATGAGGAGTCCCAGTTAACTGAACCAGGAGAAAATCCAGACTTGTTTCATTTAGCGTTTTTGTGTACTGTAGAAAGAGCTCGCTGGAGGAAAATGGTTCAGGGACAGTCAGACAGACCAGGATAATAACATGAATTTATCTGGATGAGGAAGATAAATCTTGGGAAGAAATATGATGCGTCATCTGAGGAACCCACAGAGGAGGAGCCGTTCATGTTAATAGATTGTTTGTCATAAGATAATTATAGGTCATTGGTTAAAGCTAGGACTTACCACTGTATCAATCTGCCAGGACATACTAAGCATGTGTATGAGGATAAAAGACTGTGGGAGCCCTCAGTTACAACATTTATTTAACTCTACGATTAATATCGTTATTTTTCATAAATGGTGTCGACTTTTCAGATTAATCTTTGGGTAGTTTCCTTCAAAGCTGTGATGCAGAAAGATCTAAGCATTATGTTTTTACGGAGATTAAAAGGTTTTAGTGTTAGTCCAGAAGGCGAGTTTATGCCCAAAGGCAACAGTAACTGACTGACTGACTGACTGAGTTTGGTTTTACGCCGCTTTTAGCAATATTCCAGCAACATCACGGCGGGGAACACCAGAAATGGGCTTCACACATTGTACCCATGTGGGGAATCGAACCCGGGTCTTCGGCGTGACGAGCCAACGCTTTAACCACTAGGCTACCCCACCGCCCCGGCAACAGTAACATTTTATTTTAGAAGAAAATTGTATAATGACAGGGTGACATAGCGATCTGTTTCTGTGTACATCAAAAAATAATTTTAAATTTTGGTTTTAATAAATTTTACTTTCAAACAGTGAAGATCTATAACGACAGGTAATAGATACTTAAGTATCAACCCAAAGGACAGACGTTCATTCATAACCTTAAGAGAGGGGATTTTCGAGTTGTTTCCTTTTACAAATCGCAACGAATAAACCCAAGGAATAAAACGGTATCCGCTAGGGTCATTATGATAATAAGATGCAGATATGAAAGGTCAGATAGGTACTACTTGCAGTGTGTGGTAAAACATGGTGAAAAAGGCACGGTAAACACCCCCATAGCCTTCTCTAAGTTTGAAACCCAGGAACAACCACAAGTTTCAGTTCTCGTGAGCCAATTTGGAGGCAGGACTAATGGTGTACGGATACACATAAAACAGATGTACTGATTCAGTACCGGGGATCAGTGGGGTGACATCGAGGTCATCTGGACACATGCTGACTCAGACCCTAGGGGCTTGTGTGACAATATTGTCATTCAATTTAAGGAGACAACAATAATCGACATCTTAGACCGATTTCCCCAGCGCTTTTCGCCTCATCTATAGCTTTGATGATCAGGGATTGCCCGTCCCTTAAGCACCATCAGAATGGGATTATGATATAGTGGATCTGGGGAGGGGTGGGACGTATAGGGGAGGAGAGAGGGGTTGGACGTATAGGGGAGGAGGGGGGTCACCAAGTCTGGTTGGATCAGTTGCGATTATATTAATACTACGTTGAAAATGGAATCATATTGATTGAATCGAGGGTACAGTTAGAGGTTTGGATTTCACGTAATCACGCTCAGGAATAATGGCTGGCTTTTATTGTTAGAAGGTTGGCACGAGGGAATAGAATTGGCAGAGTTTTTTTTATATTGTTAATGGTTGACAGGAATAATTCGTTTGCACTAACAGTTGCTTTACTTTAACATACTTGTGTTGGTTTGGAGACCTTTCTGCTCACTGGTATGTCTTCACGGGTCAGCATGTTGTAATTGACCGCGTAAAGGAATCAAGATAATAATGATGATTATAACAATATTGGCAGTCTTGTAAATACAGCGAAGAAGACCGCAGTGTTGAGGCGTGTCCAGGAGTCAACGCGTCCTGACAGAAGCCCCATTTCTGTCAGGAAATGCCTGTATGGGGGTCAAGAGCCCTGAGCCGATGATTAGTCGAACCATCCTGACTGTGTCATGTTCACCCGAACCCTCTTTGCTGCAATCATCCATTTAAATCTGTAAAACAACAACAACAACAACATGATGATGATGATGATGACGACGACGATGATGTAGTTCTACAGCACCTAGTTGCCAACTATTAGGTGTTCAGTGGCGCTTGGAAGGTTCTACAGTTGATATCGACGAGTGAGTGAGTATGGTTTTACGCCGCTTTTAGCAATATTCCAGCAATATCACGGCGGGGGACACCAGAAATGAGCTTCACACACTGGACCCATGTGGGGACTCGAAACCGGTCTTCAGCGTGACGAGCGAACACTTTAACCACTGGGCTACCCCACCGCCCCTGATATCGACGAGATTACATAGTTGAATTTAGTTATTTAATTAACTGGCATGCTTCTACGAAGAGGTAAGTTTTCAACATTCTTCGTGATAAAATGGGAGGTTTAGATTTCCGGCAAACACTCTCTCAAAATTGCAGTTTTAAAAAAGCACAATTTCCTATCTCTTCTTCCAGATTGTACAGGATGTTCCGGTCCAGCAGACATGCGCAGTCCACGAGGTTCACGCTGCTTGTTATATCAGCCCTGCTGCTTGTCGTCACAGTCACGTGTCGCCCGCAGAATTTGAATAAAGGAAAACGGGTAGGTCTGACTGTATTACATGCATTGAACTAGCATATGAAATCTTCAATATCACCAGGATGGAATGTGTCGTTTAAGGCGTGCAGAGTTACGTCTCGTCTGAGTGCCAGGATCCTGTGGTCGTTGGTTCAGATGCCAAACTCACGTTTTTGATCTGTAAAAACCAGATCAACTTTATTTCACAATCTTTTGTTTTTGCTCCTCCACTTATCTGCAACATTCCAGTGTGGGGTGGAGTAATTCGTATAACAATACCTGTTTCCTCATCCCTTTTCCTCATGCATTAGCAAAAGTATCGGTGACACTCACTCACTCACTCATTCACTCACTTTGGCGGTGGGGTAGCCTAGTGATTAAAGCCTTCGCTCGTCACGCCGAAGACCCGGGTTCGATTCCCCACATGGCCAAAATTTGTGAAGTCCATTTCTGGTTTCCCCCACCGTGTTATTGCTGGAAAAATCGGCGTAAAACCTCACTCACTCACTCAGTCACTCATGGACACATAGACAGAATATTTTCCATGTGTGCATGTTGTCTGTGAGGAAAGGTCACACAAGAATTGAAAAATAAAATCAGACGTAATTTCTTACAGATGATATCAATTTTCCGACAGAGGAGGGTATATTGTGTTGAAAGTTGTCCTCCGTGTGTCTGATATCCGTCGTGTCAATCTGACATCCAGGTCTCTAAGTATTATTTAACTGTGAGACTTTGGCCAGGATAATCCCTTAGGTAATACATATCATTTAGCTTTTATATCTTTCTGACATGTATTTTCTTACAACGCATAATGGCAACAGAGAGAGAAGGCGCTCGAATATTACTAGTTGAAGAATTTTTTTGTTCCTGCTTTGTATTTGTTCGTGTCAGTGAAAAAATGATGTCTTCGTCTGATTTCTGTAGACTTTAGATTAAGATTCACCAAGGGACTGATGTCTCCTTTGTTTATTGAGATGTACGTGTATACTATTTTCAGGAGTTATGGGGAACTTTGTACCAAATGATCCTCTTTTTCGTCAGTCACGACTGTGATATTTAGAAACGCCTGATCCCCTCTGTTGTCAAGTATGGGGTACCTGGGACCATCTGTTGTCCTGGGTAATCTGACAAGTCTTGGGTATTTGGGTCCGCCTTATCCCCTCTGCTGTCAGTCCAGCTTGGGTCCTTGGGACCATCCAGTCCCCTCTGTTGTCAAGTATGGGGTACCTGGGACCATCTGTTTGTCCTGGGTAATCTGACAAGTCTTGGGTACTTGGGTCCGCCTTATCACATCTGTTGTGGGTCATCCAGTCAGAATGGGTACTGTCCTGGGGTCCGCCTTTATCCCTCTGCCCAGCTTGTGGGTCAGTCAACTCTGTTGTCATGGGGGAACCTGTTGTCCTGGGGAAGGGCCTTGGGCCTTATCGCCTTATCCTCTGTGGATCAAGTCAGGGGACCACAGTCCCTCTGTTGCCGTATTACCTCGCCTCTGTTGTGGGATCAAGTCTTGGGAACGTGGGGCCGCCTTATCCCTCTTTTGTGGATCAAGTCCTTGGGAACCAGGGCCGTATTATGGGACCATCTGTTGTCCTGTCGGTCAAGTCAGGGTATTCGGGTCCGCCTTATCCCCTCTGTTGTGGGTCAAGTCAGGGGTACTAGGGCCCGCCTTATCCCCTCTGTTGTGGGTCAAGTCAAGGGAACGTAGGGCCGCCTTATCGCCTCTGTTGTGGATCAAGTCAGGGGAACGTGGGGCCGCCTTATCCCCTCTGTTGTGGATCAAGTCAGGGGAACGTGGGGCCGCCTTATCCCCTCTTTTGTGGATCAAGTCAGGGGAACGTGGGTCCGCCTTATCCCCTCTGTTGTCGGTCAAGTCAGGGGTATTCGGGTCCGCCTTATCCCCTCTGTTGTGGGTCAAGTCAGGGGTACTAGGGTCCGCCTTATCCCCTCTGTTGTCGGTCAAGTCAGGGGTACGTAGGCCCGCCTTATCGCCTCTGTTGTGGATCAAGTCAGGGGTACTTGGGTCCGCCTTATCCCATCTGTTGTCGGTCAAGTCAGGGTACTAGGGTCCGCCTTATCCCCTCTGTTGTGGGTCAAGTCAGGGGAACGTAGGGCCGCCTTATCGCCTCTGTTGTGGGTCAAGTCAGGGGTACTAGGGTCCGCCTTATCCCCTCTGTTGTGGGTCAAGTCAGGGGAACGTAGGGACGCCTTATCCCATCTGTTGTCTGTCAAGTCAGGGGTACTAGGGTCCTCCTTATCCCCTCTGTTGTGGGTCAAGTCAGGGGAACGTAGGGCCACCTTATCCCCTCTATTGTGGATCAAGTCAGGGGTACTTGGGTCCGCCTTATCCCCTCTGTTGTCGATCAAGTCAGGGGTACGTGGGACCGCCTTATCCCATCTGTTGTCGGCCAAGTTAGCAGGTACTTGGAATCAACTGACCCTCTCTGTCTCCGTGTATTATTAATCCTCAAGTGAATCTGTATCAGGGTTTTTACCTTTTGATTTCACAATCTTTCTTTTTTGTTAATGAAAAAGGATTGTTACATTTTTTCTGGTTTCAGTGTTTAAACAACATAAACGAATGTAACCCCTGGAAAGATGAGTGCTGCGATGATCTCACCTGCATCAATCTGAGGAAGGGATACTGCGCCTATCCTTTCGAGAGATGCTTCTGCATGAACAAGATCTCCTTCCACGTGGACCAGAGATCCGTATAACCAACCCGACTTACAGCGGGTGGAAGACTGGAGAGATCATGTGAAAGGAATTTAACTTCACTGCTGCTTTTGAAAAATTAAAGAATTAAGCTTTTAGTAACAACCGCGCTCATATATATCATGTCTTCGTCTTACTGAAACATTCCTTTACAGCAACAAACAAGGCGGATTAAACAGCCCCTCACATAACAATATCTGTCTCAATGTTAGGATGTTAAGTTCACTCGGGTCGACAATAAAGATATACCACCCTGTATCGTTTTGTTCACTTTTCATTTAATTTCAAATACTCTTTCAGAATTTGCTACGAAGGAGCTACAGCTGAAACTTACGTCATAGTTTGCCTATATTAACGGCTTCGGTTGTATTTGGTTGGGTTCTTGTTTAACACCGCACTCAGCAATATTACAGCTATATGGCGGCGGTCTGTAAATAATGGAGTCGGGACCAGACAATCCAATGATCAGCATGAGCATCGATCTACGCAATTGGGATAAGATGAGATGTGTCAACCCAGTCAGCGAGCCTGACCACCCGATCCCGTTCCCCTGACAAGCATGGGTTGCTGAAGACCAATTCTAACCCGGATCTTCACGGGTCTCTGTCTGGAAAACATCTGCACAGACACCGCAGAACCAAGACTTTTATGTTGTTGTTTTTTCAGGTACGATACCAGTTTTCGGGGTATGAATCTGATTTTACAGTACCACACAGCCTCCTAAACATTAACTTGAAATTGAATATTGACCTTGTTTTTGACCTTTACACGCTGGCCATGCCTTAATCACAGGCAAATTGTAGCAAAAGGTTGGCGACGTGTTTCCCCCGGTTCGGTTCGAAAAATATATTTAATATCAAAATAAAATATCGCCATTATCAAAGGTAGACACTCATTTCCTCACAGAGTCGTGCTCTCAGATTTCCAGCCTCATATTAAATAATTACTCACGTACAATATATTTAATTCAACATTTTAAGCGCAAATTGTGGCATGTCAAATCGTTCTTCGCCTCCATTACCCATCTCAGCTTCCGGTTCAACGGAGTGAAGGAACAAGAATAAGCTGAAATTATAGAGAAATATAGTATTGCATAATTTTACCGTTAAACTGTTGGGATTATTTTTCTTTTCTGCCGTCATTATTTTTAGAATTTTCGTAACATTTATTCTAAAAAAAACCCGGCCTAACGGGTAAATGAAAGCATATTTAAATTTAACTCCCCTGTTCCTTCACTCCGTTGAATCTATCATTTAAATATTGACACAGTTCACTATTTGTTACGAGGGAGGAGAGCAGAGGAAGGGACAGCCAGGTGTGCGAGAACGGATGGAGACGGCACAGCACAGGTTAATGAATAAATATCTTTGTCTGTGAACGTGCTTCTCTAACACCTGGCTGTCCCTTTCTCTGCACTCCTCCCTCGTAACAAACAGTGAACTGTGTCAATATTTTAATGATAGTTTGTTAAACAACTTTATTATATTTAGGACAAACATTCTGCAAAAACCTCACAGAGTGGGTATGATGTTTTGATTATGATCAGCGTTTCATTGAGTATGTTATGTTTAATAGTTTTCGAGTTAGATTGCAATTCATCGGTCCGCTTTTGAGCCAAATGGACTGTAGAAAAGAACTTTTTTTCCACATATTGAATACATTTGGTAGCGGTTAAATCAACCTCTTTCCGGGATGCGGTTCGTCATGAGAGTGAATCAATTCTGCTAGGGAATAAAGACAGGTAGGCAGTTATATGTCATCAGAGTGTCAAGGTCTCCAGATAAAAGTGCTCACTGACATACAAATGTTAAAGTACGTCCTTTCTTCTTCAAGATGAGTCTCGATAAAAATTAAAAGCAACTGATTACCAATCGAGCGACTATGGAAGGCTGTAGATACAATCTCCTGGCAGTCTCATACTAAAATACGTTAAAGCGTGTACTTGTTGTTACCGTGCCTGTGCTAGGAATTGGAGGGGTAAGAATGGTCGGCTGGCTACCGTTAACTGTGGATGGTGTCGCAGTGTAGCAGCATTGTAAATCCAGCGTATGTCTGGACTGTTACAAGCAGTCATTCACACGCACACACACGCACGTCACTATAGTGATATTCTTAAACGCGACGTTAATGTCCTAGCACGTCATCGTTGATATCTCGAATAATAAGGAAGGGGTGAACGAATTTGGCTTAATGTAGCTTTGAACAGTATTTCAGTTATATCACGGTGTGTCTGCTTTTTGAAGGAGGAATGCCCGAATTGATATCTTTGACGTTTGCTCATTTGGTGAAACATATGAGAACGTGTATGGTGCTGAAGTGTGATATACGTGACCCGGGATTCGAACCCACTCCATAGGTTTCTGGCGCTGTTTTGATCAGTGACATGTGGCGCAAAAGACGTCTTGACCCCCTGGGCTTCTCGATAAAAATGGGGGTGAGGGTAGAGGTTGGAGGGTTTGGATGTGTTAATACCGCTTATAATGCACCAGACATTATGTTACTTATTTATAGGTAAATACCAAAGGATCACGACATACATATTTTGTTTTAAGGAGAAATAAAATACATAAACAACATTCGTCCATGTAGCTACATTTATCAATTACATTAAACAAGGCCTGATATTGGTTAATTCTTCGATGCTCATTCTGTTGATCATTGGATTGTCAGGTCCATACTTGAATATTTATATACAGACCGCCGTCATAAAGCTGGAATATTGCTGAGTGTGGCGTTAAACAACAAACAAACAAACTCAAATATTGGTGAATGCCCCTTTAATGGTTTAATCAATGTCGATAGAAACAGCACGGCGCGCATGTTAGAGCGAGCTGATGGCGGCTCAACCTCGGGGAAATACACGGCCTTGACCTTGTAGTAGACAAGGACGCAGGCTTGACAGTATGACAACCGTCTTCGTCAAAGGCGGGAGGATATTGTCTGTTCTTCGTTCAGCATACTGTCGTCCGGGGAAGATGAGCGTTCACCAGATTGCCGAGACAGGTTACTTGAAGGTAACACTATACAGCATTCGGCTGACACGCTGTTATAATGAGATATCAATTCACATGCTGAATGGCGATCGGAGTCATTCGACATTTTCCGGTTAAAATTTAAAGGCGGGGTGATCACGTGTTTAGTGAACGCGACTTACAGTGCAAGGTAAGCCATGTATAGAGGGCGTTACTGCTAGACTTGCCGCAGGTTTATTTAGATTTGAAAACGTGCATATTTTATTTATCTTGTATGGAATGTCGGAGTGTTTACATACAATTTTAACTATCTGAAAACTGATTATCATGCCACAACACAACGGAGTCCTGGGGTGGCCCAGTGGTTTAAAACGTTGGCTCGTCACACTAGAAACCCGGTTTGATTCCCAACTATGAGTGAAACCAATTTAGTATGGTTGCCACAGTGGTGTTATTTTGGAATATGGAATAGGCAGGTCTTTGTTACAAAGTGCACTGATAAAACGCTTAACAAATTCAATTGTGCGTATTATTAATGCGGTAGCCTAATGGTTAAAGCGTTCGCTCATCACACCGAAGCCCCGGGTTTGATTCCATACATTAGTACAATGTGTGAAGCTCATTTCTTGTGTCCCCCCGCCGTGATATTGCTGAATAAAGCGGCGTCACACTTAACTTATTATCAATAGTGTGTTCAACAGGAAAAGCAAAACTTAAATATATTTAGATGTTTCTCGGAATGGCTCCCCACAATTTGATGAGAGACATTTCTATACTGTGCAAGTCAGGTCTTCGGGGCCATTTTATCATTGTAGTCACTAGTGTTGGGAATTGGCGTAAATCTCATAATTGATGATTTGTTCATTACAACCGATTAATCATCGAAAATAATTGGTTAGCGTCATTTATCAAATTTTCCTGGTTATGTTTGTTAATGCACAAAAAATAAAGAAAGAAGCATGTAGTTCTCTCGGGTTTTTTTTCGCAAATTTCACAAAATGCATTTGCAAATTTCACATCTTTAAAGGATGACTAGTGTGTTAGAAACATGCATTTCCTGGAGTTGTTAAGATAAACTTAATCATGACTTGGAACGAGCTTGTAGTGCTAATGCAATGTCGAGACAAAATCAACCTTTTGAAAAATATTGTTATTGCAAACAAGTGGTCCAAAATTGTTTGTGTTCGATTATGAGAAAACATGATCGATTTGTCATTGCGACCAATCTTCGATTATTTCAATTAATCGGACCACCACTAGTAGTCACTTAAATACTGTTTGTCTAAAGTTAATTACCAGTTAGCCTATCGTAACCTGTCACTTCCTAAATTTCAAGCCAGAAATAACATAGCAGTTACATGAAGTTTTAGAAAACGAATGACAGAAACACTGAATGAATATAAACAATGTTGACAAACGTTTTAAGATATTTTCCCTTATGAAAATGTACAAAGCTCACACTTCGATGCCAAAGACAAAAACATGCATTTTAGAACCATAGGAACACGACATTCATTACCCAAAACTGACTTCATTTAGCTTTTAATAAGCCGGTATGAGGGATGCGTCAAAAGTCAGCCATCGACATTCGACTTACAAGATACTGCTCTTCAAACTTGCGGATCTCATCGGCCTTGACCTTTAATAAGATATGGCGAGGAGGACATGAGCGTGTTGGCGAAGGGATTCACAGTATTTTCTGTATGTCGTTCAAGAAGCTATCGTCTCATCGGAATGAGTGTTCACAACGTTGCAGAGGCTGGGTTTCAGAAGGTAAGGGCATATTCCCTTTCTGTTCATATTCAAGATGAAACGCTATAGTCGTTTGATAAAAGTAACACAGAGATTGTGGATTGATATGAGGAAATATGACGTTTCTTGCCTGAACATGCATTCGGTATTTTTTTATATACATTCGTGTGGAGTCCCGATAACAATAGATGCCACCCCATGATCATGAGACAGAGCACAGTAGATTTAGCTTCATGCTGAACAATGTGTGACCTGGTTGAGTGTGCTCCAACCTACATACCAACTACTTTTATCATTCTGTTGTTGTGCTTGACCCAGATTTGGTTATCTACATAATTGTGATAAAGCTGGTATCTTACCGACGGCGGCATTGAACAACATTCACTCAAAATGTGAAAACAACTGAACCTAGAGTTATCATTAACTTAAAGGGGTGGTATTATAGCCGCGTGGTTAAAGCGTTTACTTGCCGCTTTGAAGACCCAGGTTCGATTCCTCGGATACGAGTTTCCTACCCTGGGAAGCTGTAATCGCTCAGATTTCATTCACACACATCAATGTACGTTCGTTTTTATTTTGGACTTCAAAATTGTGTCTTATGTCAATTTAAAGGAAAACAACCTTGTCATTTAATTATCGTTACAACGTAGCGTATCCTTTGTACTCTTCTAACACATTTTCTTCTTAGGGATCTCATTATAACGCCAACAGACCTTCTTATAGCGAGGAGGCCGTGACCCTCATTGCAAGCACAGTCTCTGGGATACAAACACAAGACGCAGGTGAGTATTTTTCGCAATCGCTACTGACTCACAGCCGCAATTCGTTGTGCACAGTTGCGTCCTTGTTCGTGCCAGGATCAACTGATTTGGTTTCGAGTTCTCGACAGTCGTGAATGTGATCCGTAAAATTCAATCGTCTACAACCTACGCCAGGCATTAAGGTTACAGCTGAAATTGTGTCGTAAAGATATAAACTCACACACTTACGTTAATGTAAATAAGGGCATCATGAAAGGTGCACGATTTTATGAAATACGTTATCATCCTAGGCCATTCGTATAAGTTTGTTTCACATAAGCTTAGCATCAGAAGGATCTATTGGCCGACAGAAAACTATCCAAAAAATATTAAACACCACTTTTCTCTGTAGTTGAGTGTTTCTGCATAAATGGATCATAACTTGAAGCCATGTTTCCAAACGGTCCAACGTTATACATCAAGAGGTTTAAGGTAACACCTGTTATCAGGATTATGCTGAAGGGCGGTGGGTTAGCCTAATGGTTAAAGCGTCTGCTCTCCACACCGATCCGGGTTTGATTCCCCACATGGGTTCAATGTGTCAAGCCCATTTCTGGTGTCCCCCGCCGTGATGTTGCTCGACGTACAGTCAATGTAGTTGTGAAAGGTGTCAATGTGTTTAACGTCTTCAGAAGAAACTAAGCCAGAAACTACCGAAGGTTTGTTTTGTGTTTTAATGAACGTTAACGTTTTTTGACATTAAATTATCCCAACAAAATAGATTTGATATATACTATTCACACTTTGCTAAGGATCAAATCATGGATTCAACAGAAAACTATGATGTGGGGTCAAATTGGATATAAGTATCTAAGCTTATTGTAAGCATGGATGCTAGGTTTGAGTGTGTCATTTTATCTTGTGGATCCCATACCTGCTATTGACAGGTGTTGTGTACTTGTCAATGACTCGTTCCTTGATTTGCAAAATGGTTGATTGGTGCCATGAAAACCATTTTTATGGTTACTCACGTATCAAGTGCATACGGTTAGATTAACGTGAATGTTTGCCTAAAGAGGAGTTACCATGCTATTATTTATCCAGTTTTAAATGGATGCAATTTCAAATTATGAATCTGCGTTTAAGTAAAGTTGTGAATTTTGTGATCCTTAGCAAAGTGTGAGTAGTATATTATGTCACTGGACAGCAATTTGTCAAGACCTACCTCTTGCAACAGCTTGCACTGCCGTTGAGAAGCCTGGTGTTTAATAGTTCGATCTTCACGCTGATTTCGATTCTAACCAACGGTACGGTGTTCATGGCCTATTGTGTGTTTTTCTCGACATACTGTGACAAGTATATTATTGTGTAAATATACTCACTCACTTGATAATTTGAAGAATTTTCATCAACATTTTACTTTAAACGCCCATTGGAATTTGGCATCGACGTTTTACACATACTTGCTTTCATCCTAACTAGACTTCCCGTTACCTGGCAACAGAGCCATCTGCAGGGTTTCTCCCGGTTCTTCAGGAGAGTTGCCCGGATGTAGAGACACGCATGTGCGCAGCTAACTCTATACCGTTAGCCGACAGTGTGGTCAAGGTGAGAACGGCGTTCATATCGGGCTAGGAAACTTCCAACAATATTGTTGTGTCTTCTCTTCTGGGCTTTCAGTTCGACTCATTCTTATCTTTAATGTCATTATGTTCGCTCGCATCACCGAATATTCCTCATATGCGTGCCATGTATGAAGCCCATTTCTTGTCTTTAGACTCCAATATTGTTGTACATAGTGTTGCTGAAATTAGCAGAAAACCACAACTCACACTCTCAATCAGTGAATTCAACCTTCGAAGTTGTAGGAAGATAAAATTGGTTTATTTATTCACGTCAAGGTAATGTTAAATCAACATTCTTTATGAAGTTAAACATTTCCATACAGGCTGTGGTCTGTGCCCAGAGTTTCCACTGGTTTCCATACAGTCATGTCCTGGATGAAATACGGCGGGTGATGGTGGATGGAGGGAAGCTAAGTGAGTACCCTATCTTCATTTTCACTGTGAGAAAGAAACATGTGGTGCGCAATATTGCAGTGGTAAAGCGTCTGCCTATCACGCTGAAGGCCTGAGTTCGATCCCCGGTGGAGGCACCTAGGTTCGGGTCCCGAGGTGGGCACATTTGCGTAGTATCCTTGGACATGTTCCACATTGTCTCAGTTCACCCAGCTGTTAAATGGGTATGGATGTGCTGGCAGTGTGAGTGTTTAGTTCATTGCGTCTAACAGGCAGCATGGTTGTATGATCCCCAGGGAGTTGAAAAGGTATCGGAAAGTACGATAGTGTCCTATGACCGGGGATAGTAATGTACGTAGTGCTGTGAGCTGGCAATGTGCATGGATACGAGCGCCTTAAAAGGGGACTACGGTTCGACGGTGCACTCAGCAATAATCCAGCTGTATCACGGAGATTTGTACATATTAGGATCTGGACCAAACAATGCAGTGATTTACATCGCGAGCATTTATGGTTTCAATGACTTGCAGCA